TTGTTGAGGGTTAAATAATATCTTAATTTTGTGACCTACACTGATTAACCAAATCATATCTTAGCTAGGACTTAAAATGTAAGCCGCTTTTTCTTTTCTTTTTTTACTTACTAAATACCAAAAGATTCAGTTATATAATCCTACTGCTGATATCAACCCATGTAGTCAGAGGAAACGGTGCTTTACAGCTGCAATTAGAGTTTGTTTGTTTTACGATAGCTGCAAAATATTTGGGTACTCAGTTAATTCATGACACTTTAATGATAATGGTGACCGGAAATCTTATAGCTTAGCTATAGTAGTAAATTATACTGTGCAAATAGGTTAGGTATACAGTGATTTAGGGTTTAGAAACAATCTCTGTCAGATGATCAGGTTGAATTACAGCCTTGTAATCTGGTCATCAGGCCTCTCTTTTGCTTCTGAATTTACAGCTGCTGAGAAGTCCATGTGCAGAGTTTCTTTCCTACCATACATACATTTTGGTGTGTTAGTTTAACTCTCCGATAACAGTATGCTTCTAAAGACTAGATAGAAACATCCTATCAGGTTGATAACTTGATACTTCAGATGTGCTTGACAGGAACATACCCTGTTCTACCCCAAGATCTGTAGAAAATGAGAAATTCATAATGTAATGTCATAAATGCCTGAAGGTCACTTATCGATACAGATGTCCATGAAAGGGAGGGGAGAGTTTCCAGTTATATTTTTCTTCTTCCACAGAAGGTCTCTGCCATCCCAGTAAAAATATAACATGTAGGAATGGTGTGACCTGAGCACAGGACAGTTAGATGGGAAGTCTTGAGTTCTAATTCCAGCTCTGACACTGATTTTTTTTTTTTCCTGTGCCCTTGGGTAACCCTCTCTGAATCCGTTTCTTTATCTGTAGTGTTATTTATTTTGTTTTCAGTAATACCCAAAATGTATTAGACTCCGTACAAACATCAAAGTAGGCAGTGTCCCAGCCCCAAAGAATTTACTTTGAAATTGAGATAATGCTTGCCTATTTCACAAGGCTGTTGTAAGGATTCATTAATGTTTTTAAAATGTTTTGAAGCTGAGGATGTTAAATGATTACTGTCTGGCAGTGAAACGTGCTGCAAACATTTGTAACCACAGCTGCCATTCATATTTGTATGCAGTATTGATTCATAGAATACAGCGTTTTGAAAAATGCAAGTTAAAAATGAATTCTTGATCTGTTATTTTTTAAAATTCCTGTAGCAATCTTGGGGGCATAGGCAGGGTTGGCTTTTCCTTCGGAAAAACTTGTTTAGGACAGGGTGCTGGTAAATTCTGGCTTACACCAGGTTTAAATGAGGAAACGGAGAAATATAATTGCATCAGTGTCCAGCAAGTTGAGCGAGCGTAGAGCGAATCTTTTTTTCAAATTTTGAAGACATCCATTCAAAACTGGGGATTAGGCTCGGTCTATCCACTACATCAAAGCTGGTCTTCTGCTATAGAATGCTGCATGGCCAAATGGACCTAGAGTGGTAATCTGCATCTCTGCATGCTTCTGGTTCCTGCATGCTTCAAGCCCTCAACTCTGCATTGCTGTAGTTTTCATACAATCAAATGTTTTTGACTTTTGTTTATATAATATTGAAAACTGAAATATGAGTCCTTGAGAAAATACCAAACCAAAATGTATACAGGCATTCTGGTGTTCAGTATTATAATTACATATATTAGTATTACACCCAGTGCAGTTTTACTTTTTATTTGTGCAGCCATGAATTAATCTACAAATCTACTGTCTTATGTAACCACAATTTGAATATGTAACTAAAACTAAGTGTAATGCGGTGTGCATTAGCCAACAGTTTTTAAAATTGAAAATGCTTTAAACTGGGAGTACCTAGTTTTTCCCAGAGCAGTAAAATCCTTGATTTTACCTGGCAAAACCTACATCTGGTAAATACCAGGCCATCCCTGAGTGGGAGGTGCTACTGTACTTGCTCCCCAATGAAAGCATGTTCTTGGCCACCCCTTATGCCAAATTCTGGGAACATCACTTCAGTTATTGACCGGGTTGGGTTTTACATGTAGAACTGCTTTTATTTTGATCTCATTCCTTAACCTCTGTGGTTGTCAGTATTTCTGCCAAGGGAAGTTTTCTCCATGCATCTTGTCTTTGTGATTCATGTGTGCACACACAGAATTTGAGAGCAGATTAGAAGTTTCTTTTAGGTTGAACTAGCATAGGAACAATATACCATCATTTTAGGAATACCATAGGGTTAGTCTACTGCAATACATGCTAGTAGACTATACTGCATTATTGGTAAAATTGTGATCCTCTCTTCTTGAGCATTGTTCTCTGCATTTCAAATTCAGTGGATGCCAGCTCCACCTATCTCATTTGTGCTTTTCTTCCAAAACAGCTTCTTTCTGCCTTTTGTGGGGCTTTTTATTCATTCTTTTTGGTATAATAGGAAAATGACGCTAATTGCAGAGATACCCAGTAGCAGGAGAAATGTGACAGAGCAGTGTTCAGAGGAGTTATGTATGGCATAGTTTAACCAAGCAGTGAGCAGAATAGTAAAGTTCTTGATCAGATCAGGTAATGCTTACAGCAATTTAGGGTATGTCTATTTTTACCTCCGGGTTCGGCGGTAAGCAGTTGATCTTCTGGGATCGATTTATCGCGTCTTGTCTAGACGCGATAAATCGATCCCGGAAGTGCTCGCCGTCAACACTGGTACTCCTGCTCCACGAGAGGAGTATGCGGAGTCGACGGGGGAGCCTGCCTGCCACGTGTGGACCCGCGGTAAGTACCTTGTAGTTCGAACTAAGATACTTCGACTTCAGCTACGTTATTCACGTAGCTGAAGTTGCATATCTTAGTTCGAACCTTAGTTCGAACTGGGGGGTTAGTGTGGACCAGCCCTTAAATGCAATTTGGGGAAAATGTTTTCTGGATTTTTACACACACAATATCTTCATAAAACCCTTGAAGCTGATCAGTACTATTGAACGCAAGGAGCTCTAAATAATCCATAATCATATATGTCATTAATCCATATAAAGAATAATACACAGGCTCAGCCTCAGGTGTGGTTGTAAAGGCACTTGTCTGTGACACATCTTTATACAAGCATTGATGACATAAAAGAGCTGTTATGGTTAGATAATTGAGGCACATTACTAATGTGCAAAATTTTAATGCAGTCTTAATTGGTCCTTTAATATCACATTGTGTATGAAGGAGTCTAAATGTTGCTACATTTATAAAGCAGATTTTGGAAAAATACGTGAATTGCTGGGTAAACTACAATTAGGAAACTGAGATGAGTGACACTACTGGGAAATATTTAATCAGAAGCCTTGGATGTAGTCAGCTGCTGTCAAGGACCAGTATTGGTTTTATGGGTGATTATGAGCCTGTTCTAATTCCTCATCTCCAGTCTCTTAGTAAAAGAGATGTGTTCAGTTATTTGTCTCTTCTATATGCTGGATGCATCTCAAACTCTTATGCCAATTGAATGCTCATGGGAATTGGAGCTAATACTTCTGGGTCCATCTGAGTTGGTTTGTGCATGGTACTCACTGTCTATCTTGGGTCCCTATCTAACCACGGGCAGGCGGCAAAATTTCCACTTTTTCACTTCCACAAAACGGACATGAAGTGGCACAGCTTCCCCCCTTGCCAATGGCGCTTATTGGTCCCAATTTTGGGGAGTAAGGGAAAGTCTTGATGATCACAGAGAAACGAAGAATCAAAAGATTCATGATTTTAAGGCTCAGATTTTGTCATGGATATTTTTAGTAAAAATCACAGACCGGTCATGGGTAATAAACAAAAATTCACAAAAGCCTGTGACCTGTCCGTGATTTTTACTAAAAATACCCCTGACAAAATGGAGGGTCCAGCACCCACAGTGGCTGGGCAGCTTGGCTGCTGCGGGTCCCCCGCTGCCCTTGGTGGCTGGGAGCTGCAGGATCCCTCTGTTGCCCAGCGGCTAGGAGCTCTGGGACTCTCCGTTGCCTGGCGGCCAGGAGCTGCTGGGGACCCACTGCCGGCAGCGGCTGAGAGTTGCGGTGCTGCCTGCTGACAGCTCCAGACCCAGAGCAGAAATGTCACAGAGGTCTCTGGAAGTCACGGTTTCTGTGAGCACTGTTATAAAATTACTTTCTTACAGCTAATATGAAACTAGGGTGCTTTGGGGATTTACATTGTGATGCCCTGTGTACAAGTGAATCAGCATCAGTCCACCAGCAAAGGCAACTGGACTGCAGTTCTGAACCTGGATGACTCCTGTAGTCTAACAGAGATCCTAAGTAGCACAGGGTGCGTCTGATTGTCAGGTCAGAGTGCCTGCATAACTAAGCTTTCCACGTTTCCCCTAGCTGTAGTGAATCCTGCTGTTCTTCTTGCTTCTTGGCCTCTCACAGATTCCATACTTTAATTCCTGTTCCCAGTCAAGGGTGCCTCTCTGCTGACTCTTGCACATTTTCAGGACAAGCTGCATATCTTAACAGATCCTTAGGTATCATGGGGCCCTGTGCTGAGAGGGTAAGCATGAATCAAACTGTAGATGAGTAGGACGACTCATGGATGGCAGCTTGCGGACCCAGGGACCATTTGGCATTCCAAAGCACCATAGAGACCCTGCTCCCTGACTCTTAGCACATGCCCATAAACATGTCTAAAGCCCTGGAAATTCCCAGACAGAGAACTGAGTTAAAATGGAGTTGGGATAGAGAGTACGTCAGAAATTTAAGAATAAAATCCTTAGAACTTTTTTTTAAAACAGGAGATTTAGAGTCAGGTTTAATTTGTTTTCTTTTATAAATGGTTATCTATTGGACAGTTTTAAGTTACTCATTGATAAAGCAAAATCCTCAAGAGTCACATTTAGTGCATACTAGAATGGCCACATACACAGCCATGAAGCAGTCCCATCTTTGAACTCATAGTAAGATGAACAGGAACAGGGAGATTAAATAGATAATGATGAAATCTTAACACAATGTTTTCTCTCTTAAAACAGCTAGTAAAAGGCCTTCAACAGGAGCTGAACCGGTTATATATGCTGTTCTGTTCTCGGAATCCAGAGTTTGAAGAAAAAGGGAAAGTCTCAATTGTGTCACATTCCCTGGGATGTGTAATCACTTACGACATAATGACTGGCTGGAATCCAGTAAGACTCTATGAACAATTGCTGCAGAAGGAAGAGGAGGATCTTGAAGACCGTTGGATGAGCTATGAGGAGCAACATTTGCTTGAAGAACTTTACATAACTAAACAACGGTAATGTATTCCACATTCTCATTATTAAGGAGAAATCTGCATCCCAAAATGAAACTCTTTAGGAGTTTTCCAGAGCTTACCATTACTTTTATCAGAAATACCTGGCCACTGCTGCACCTGTGCTGGCATTGAATGGCAATGGTAAATGGAATTCTCTAACCACAGGACAAACACATTAGTGAAGCTGTCAAAGGTAAGGGGAGCTGGGATCAGTGACTGGAATTCTGAGCCCGTATCCTGCTTGCTGTACCAGAAGCAAACAGCTGGCCAGCAGGAATCATCTGTTCATTGCCAGCTGATCAATTTGGGAACTACTTCCAACAAGGAACAATAATGCAAGGCCCTCCAAAGACATTATTGACAGTACTCTACTCCAATAAAGTCACTAGATCTGTGGTGAAGCTGAGGCTGCACACTGCCCATGGGTGGGAAATGAGCAGTGATACAGGGTGGAGTTATAGTTGGTGTTGGAATCTTAGCTGTGAATTTCCTGAGTTTCTAGCACTTACTGTTCTTTAAAAAATAAAAAACTAAGTATTCTGAACCTATCCAGGTTTGAGGAGAGGAGAAGGAATAAAGGTTCTCCTTTGAGGAATTGCACATATCCTTTCCATTGTAGATGTATGTGCACTCTAGTGCAGTTGTTGGAGAGTTTTCCCTTATCAGTACCTGTGGGGCGGCATGGTTACTGTCATTAGTACCCATTGTTGTTATAGAGCAGTTTGTGTTTAGTTTAGCTTAACTTAGGGTTGTTGTTTTGGGGGGAGGGGGCTGTTTGACACTGACTTCTATCTGGGTACTGGAGTTATGCCTCGTTCTTCGGGCTTGAAACCCTGCCACTCTTGTGGCAAACTAATGCTAATTAGTGACCTACAGTCCAGCTGCTTTAAGTACTTGGGGGAGGCTCATGTTAGTGACAGATGCAGTATCTGTAAGGCATTTAAGCCCCAATCCCAAAAGGACAGGGCAGCTAGACTTAAGTACCTGCTTAAGTTGGATTTGGAGCTTCATCCTCTATTGGAGCCTTCTTGCACAATCCAGGTACGAAGTGCCTAGGCATCGGGCAGCAGTGCTCCTCCAGCCTTGGTTGTACTGAGAGACAGATCAATTTCACTGGTGCCAAAGAAGAGGTAACACAAGTCATCTAAGGACTTGGTACTAGGCACCTCAAGATCAGAGGCGCAGAAGTTGAGCCTCTACCAAGGACTCGAAGGTGTGCTTAAAAAGGAGGCATTCTCCAGAACAAGCCTCAGAATGGGAGTTTGTTGGCTCCAGAGCCCAGTTCAGTATCAGCTTCACTATTGTCACCTCAGGTTGCAGTGCCACAAGACCAGAATACTTTCCCTGTACCATCCACTCTTGAGGTGTTTGTTGAATCTGTCAATACCGCCCTCCCTGGGAATTCAAGATTCTTGCTTGGCGTCGGCACTGATGGTCACAGTTTCAGCTACACACCACGTGGAACTATCGGATTTGGCAATTAGCATACTGACTAACATGGTACCGTCTAGGGGAAGTCCACAGAGGATCTCTCTATCCCCTTCTCCAGAATCTGAGCCTACCTCTCTGGTACTGAGGGGACAGTTCCTGCATGGTCTGAAGAAGTGGATTCTTCTTCGAATTCTAAAGTAGGTTTATGTGTGTCTCAGTCTGGACATGTCCAGTAACCTGTATGCAGTGCCTGCCCACCCTGGTTTCAGCCTCTGTTCCAGCAGGGGGCAGACCGCAAGGACCCTTTGTCTGCACACAGTTGGGGGCCAGGCCCATATCAGTGGCTTTTGGGGAACCCCCAGGGGTTCCTCCCTCAGTCAAGAGTCCCCACATCCTCCCCACTCTACCTCCTTGGCTAGTCATCAAGAACATCAGCGCCATAAACGGCCCAACCTTGGTAGTGAGCCCACCCTGTGCAGGGGCAGGATCCTTCTCTTGAGCTTCTCTGAAAAGAGTTGAAACAGGATAAGCCCCGAGGGTCATTGGCGTGTTCTTCCTCAACCCATATGAGGCTGTCATAGTGGAGCCTGTTTCCTTGCCACTGGATGACCACAAAGCCCATCAAGAGTTGTTGTGAAGGATGTCTTTGGTTGTAGGCATCCATCAAGAGGAGGTCCAGGAAAAGTCCAACAGGCTTGTGGGCATTTTTAACATCAGCAGCTCCATCAAGGATAGCTCTGCCTATTAATGAGTCTGTTCTGGAGCCTACTCAGGTTTTTTGGCAGACCCCATCGTCCCTGCCACCTACTGCAAAGATAGCGGAGAGGAGATACTACATCCCCTCTCATGCGTTTTAACATTTTTACAGTCCTGCCTCTCAGGGTTCCCTGGTAGTATCTGCCGTTAATATAGAGGCAAGGTCACCAGGCATTGAAACCAAAAAAATAGATTTGTTCGGAAGGAAGCTTTATTCCACAGAAGGGTTACACCTTTGTGTTGTGAACCAGCAAGCTCTGCTGGGGCACTATGATTTTACCCAGTGGGATGCAATTTTGAAGTTTAAGGATGAGCTCCAGACAATATGAAACAAGAATTTCAGGTGATGGTGGAGGAGAGCAAGTTAGTTTCTAGAACAGCTCTGCAGGCTGGTCATGATGCATCTGATTCTGCAACTCATTGCCTAGTCTCCATCATCATCACATGATGGTCCTCATGGATGCTATCCTCTGTTCTCCCAGAGCGTCAACAAACAATCCAGGACCTCCCCATTGAGGGGTCATCACTCTTCTCGGGAAAAACTGGTGACACTCTGCATCGTCTCAAGGACTCCAGAGTAACTCTGAAATTCCTGAGGATTTATATTCCGAGGGCAAAGAGGAAGTCTTTCTGTCCTTATCAGACCCAGCAATTTCTGGGAGTTGTAGCTCAAACCAAGGAGAAAAGATATAGGCGTTTAAAAAATAAATAAATAAACAATTTCCACCCTCACCTTCTGCCCCTGCAGCTGCTGGTTCATCAAGGCAGACTGCATCCTCCTACCACACATTTTGTTGAGTAGGTCAAGAGCAGAGTATCAGTTCCAAGAGTGCCATCTTTGCCTTCTCTGATTTTTGCAAATTGCCTATCCCACTTCCTTCATGCTTGGGCCCACATCACCATGGCTCAGTGTGTTCTAAGCATGGTGGAAGTGGAATACACCCTTCAATTTCTTTCTAGCCCCCCTTCCCCATCCCTCTTCAGGGACCTCTCTCTCAAAGCTGTGTTATTTGCGAGAGATACAATCGCTTCTTCTTGTGGGGGCTATAGAGTAGGTCCTTCAGTTGCTCAGAGGAAAGTGGTTTTACTCCCGTTACTTCCTGATCCCGAAAGGAAAGGGAGGTGGGGTCTCAGGCCTATTTTAGATCTGAGAGAGTTAAACAAGTTCCTAAAGAAATTGACATTCCGGATGGTCACTATAACTTACATTATTCCTTCCCTTGAGCCGGGTGACCGGTATGCTTTCCTTGACTTAAAGGATGCTTGCTTTCATGTGGCAATTCATCAGAACCACAGAAAGATTCTAAGATTCTATCAACGGTTCTATCAGTTCACAGTACTGACTTTTGGTCTGTTGGCCTACTCATGTATTCACACAGCGTATGGCAGTGGTAGCAGCATTCCTCCAGAGATCAGGAGTCCATGTCTCCCATTATCTGGATGACTGTCTAGTAAAAAGTCGATCCAGGTCATAAAAGTTGTCCAGTATAAACATTATCCTGTCCAGGTTTGATGCGCTCAATCTACTGATCAACACAGAAAAGTCCATCCTGTCTTTGATTCAGAAAATAGAATTTATTAGAATGGTCCTCAATTCCATGATGGCCAAAGCTTTCCTTTTACCGTCAAGCTTTCAGACTATGCAAGGCATCATACTAGGTTTAAAGACATATCTCCTCCCCACAGTAAGTAGTTGTTGCGGCTGCTATGGCACATGGCAAGCCTGCATTTATGTTATCTAGTTTGCCAGACTACGTTTCAGAGCGCTTACAGAGCTGATTGGCCGAGGTGTATTCATCACGGAAACATGATCTGAACTATCGTGTCCATGTGCCAAATTGGTTCTTATCCTCCCTAGATAGATGGACAGAACCTTCCAACGTTTGCAAGGAAGATCCCTTCACTCCATCTCAACAATCTTTCACGTTAGTCACGGATGCCTTGGGTTTGGGTTGGTGATCTGTCTTGGGTCTCATACAGACACAGGGTAATCTAAAATAACCTGCAACTCCCTGACATTTACAGGTAGTCTGCTTTGTTTGCATGGCATTTCTTTCACACATCCAGGGAAGGGCCTTGTAGGATTTTGATTAAAAAATGCAGTAGCCATGTTCTATGTAAACAAACAAGGAGGAGCCTTTTAAGAGAGCGTGGCCGTCCCTCCTTGTCTATCTCTGATGATGGCCACACCTCCTCACTGTCATGCCCTTAGCACGGCAACCAATTAGAGGGGAATTCGCTGTCTTTAAAGCTCAGGCCACTTAAACTGGGCTGAGCAATACCGAGTCTATGAACCACGGCACTCCGGCAGTGTGGGCAGCAAACAGTCGGGGCTCTAGCTTGCGATCGGGGCAGAGCAGCAAAAGGAATCTAGCATCCTAGCTTTCGCGGACTGTAGACTAGTGCGGGCCTCCTGGCCTATGATGGGGAGGCTGCTATCCCAGGTGTGGGGTGGCAGGGTGTATGGGGACCCAGGGCCCACCCAACTCCACTGTTTCCCAGCCCAGGGCCCTAACAGGGGTGGAGTATTCCGCCACTGGGGTCAGCAGGGATTTCAGCCGCAACATGCTGACCTGGCTTCAGGCAGTGACGGAGCCAGACTACAGTTGGCTGTCCCTGGGCTACTTCCTTCCCTCCCCTCGGAGTGTACCTGTATCTAGGGGTCGTCCTCAGTCTCCCCCAGGAGCAGCCACAGGCCCGGGCCCTTTAAATCACCGCTGGAGCCCTGCCGCCGCTACCCTGGGACTCCGGCAGCAGGGCTCGGGCAACACTTTAAAGGGCCTGTGGCTCCCCACAGCGGCCAGAGCCCTGGGCCCTTTAAATCGCCAGCCTGGGGAAGCCAGTCCGGTCCATCACGGCGTACTGGCTCTTGCCGGTATGCGGTGCCGGACCAGACCGGCTTACTTTCACCTCTGCTGGTGTGTCAGGAAGTGATTCTGCTTTGAAATTTTTATATTGCCAGCTCTGTACATCTAAAAGTGGCTTTTAGATCCAGAATACTCTGTCTGACCGCCTAAGCAGACTGTTTATCAATCACCATGAGTGGTTCCTTTGCCCAGACATAACAAGTTCCATTTTCCATTTTTAGGAACTCCACCAGTGGATCTATTTGCAACAAAAGACAACAGAAAATGTCCCCAGGTTTGCTTCCAAATAGGCCACAGGCCGGGTTTGTTGACAATCACTTTTATACTGCCGTGGTCAAATGGACTCATGTATGCTTTTCCTCCCATTCCTCTCTTGCCCAGAGATCTGTGCAAAATCAAGCAGGACAAGACTCATCTTATACTTATTGCCTCAGCAGGGCCCTGTCAACACTGTTTTTCAGAGTTATCCCTATCAATCAGTCCTCCGCTGTCACTCCCACAAGACACAAACTTGATTTAGCATAAACGCAGCCACCCCATCCATCCTAATCTACAGACCCTTTATGTGACTGTCTGGAGGCTTCATGGCTGACATCTGCAGAGGGGTCCTGCTTTAGAGGAGATCGGTATGTGCTGCTAAATAGTAGAAAACTAGGTAAATGAAAGAGGTTCTCTATCTGGTCCAGACTGAAAGGCGTTTCCCTCGTCCAGACTTCTGTTCAGCACATATTGGACTATCTTCTGTTCCTAAAGCATCGAGGGTTAACAGTTCACTGAGAGTGCACCTGTGGTTTTCTCTTCCTTCCACCGACCTATTGATGGCCATTCACTTTTTTCCAACCTGTTGTCCATAAGAGTTTTAAAAGGCCTGGACAAACTATTTCCACAGGTGTAGGATCCTGTTCCCCCATGCAACTTGACTCTAGTCTTAGCAAAACTGATGGGTTCCCCTTTTGGACCTCCAGCATCCTACTTCCTACTGCACCTTTCTGTGGAGGATGAATCTTTAGTGACCATTACATCGGCTAGTAAAGGGGGGGAATGAGAGCATTAGTATCAGATCCTCCATAGACTGTTTTCTACACAGTTTACCTTTGCCCTTATCCAAGGTTTCTTACTTAGGTGGTTTCCAGTTTTTATATTAACCAAGCTGTCTTCTTACTGACCTTCCCAAAACCTCATGGTTGTAAAGGTGAGGAGAGGCTTCATGCTCTTGATGTTAGAGAGCTTTAGCTTTTATCTGGACCAGACTATACCTTTTAGGTCTTTGATACAACTCTTGATCACGTCTGTGGACAGAATGAGGGGCTATCCAGTATCCACTCAAATGATCTTATCTTGGATATCCAATTACATGCTGTTATGTTACCGGCTGGCTAGTGTGATGCCTCCAGATAGAGCAGGTGTTCTCAAACTTCATTGCACCGCAACCCCTTTCTGACAACAAAAATTACTTCACGACCCCAGGAGAGGGGACTGAAACCCTGAGGCCACCCGAGCCCCGCCACCCTGGGTGTGGGGGGTCAAAGCCAAAACCCAAGCTCCACCACACTGGGTGAGGAGGCCAAAGCCGAAGTCCAAGGGCTTCACCCTTGGGCAGGGGGCCTGTAGCCTGAGCCCCACTGCCCAGGGCCGAAGCCCTTTCAGCCCCGGGCAGTGGGGACTCGGGCTTTGGCCCCAGCAAGTCTGATGCCAGCCCTGGCAACTCCACGGTGAAGTGCTAGCAGCTGTTCTCTCTTAATGTGCAACTCAACTGAGAGAAATATGAAGAAACCTCCTCAGCATCCCAAAACATGCGGAGGAAGGATAACCTCTTAGACGTCATTAGGATCTGACCAGTGGCCATCACCATGGCCATACTCTTGCCCCAGATGCCTAGCCATTCACAAAAATGTTCCAAGCTTGATCCTCATTAATCCTAATGTTACGCAACATATGCATTCATCAATGAATACAGCCATCTTTAAATATTATTAATGCAGTTCAGTATAAATCTCATATGTATGCTTCTATAAAACATATAATTACAATCTGTAACTTCAGGATTTCAAAGTTTATAATCTTTTTAAAGCAATATTGGGCTTGTGAAAATTTTTGTGCCTGGAGTAATTTGATTGTATCCTTAAATGTTTTAAATTGTACTTCCCTCTATAATGTTCTATAAGTGGCATGTGTGATTACAGCATATGATACCTCTTACTATGTAATGGGTGGAGATAAATATTCTGTTTCTTTGCTGAGTGAGTCATACTCTTGAACACATGTAGACTGTTGAAAATGCTGCTTTTCAGTAAACGCCAGTCCCCAAAACCCATTTTTTGCTAGTTAGACCGATACACAGCAGAATAGATATGTTCTACATTTTATTCATAAAACACACTTTGAAAATTTAATAAAGTCATTTCTTCTATTCTGTAAATAATTTGTAATACTATTGTTCTGCTGTGGATTGAGGAAAGTTGGCGGCCATGATAGCTGCCTTACATTCATGCAAAACAAGGGAACAGTTAAATGCCCCCAGTGATAGCTGAAGCAGTGGACTAGACTGCCTTCAAATACAGGCAGTGGCTGGGCCATGCAGTCCAAAAGGTTTCCTTGGGGTCTGATAAACACAGGAATAAGGGATCGTTTTGATTGCAGCTGTGAGTTTGGGGCAGGGAGGGAGGAGAAGGGGAGAAGCCGCAAAACAACCACAGAAGCAGATAGAGAAGGAAGCCAAGATACGATTGGGGATGCACGTGTTCCATGACCCTGAGAAAAGCTGAGCGAGAGAGAGGTTTTGGGTAAAGTTCTGGCTGAGAAAGGGTTGGGACTGTGAGCAAAGAAACTGTCTCCTGCTGCTTGATTCCTGCTGTGCTCAGGGAAACAGAACTTTGTGTATGTTCTTTGTAAATAAATAGGACTGCGTCAAACAAATATCTGACTCCAGCATCAATTCCTTCTCCGAATGGAAACGACATACAACCTCAAAAATTGGCTAACTGCTTTTTGTCCGCACCATGCCTAATGAAGACACCCCTTTTTTCTAGATTGAGAGAGATAGAAGAAAGGTTACATGAATTAAAGGCATCAACCATATCGAAAACACCTGCCTTAAAATTTAAGGTATGTATGTTCGATGGATTTTTATTGAATGAATGAATATTTATTGTGTTTGCTATAAAAGTTTGTTTTCAATACGCTCTACCCAAGTTTCTTTTTCTGCTTGTACTGAGGTAATTTTTATAGATTTATTTTTAAATATTCACATATGTATATAAAAGGATTAATATACATTCATATATTTAATTTTTGCTCTTCAATTTAAAATTTATAATATATATTTATATCTAAAATATATTATATATTATATGAATTATATTAATATTACATGTTTGTTTATACCACATGTGGTGGTGAAATCCATTTTGTAAATTTGCATTTATCATGCACCTTTGACAGTCTCACCTCTACTCTGCCCACTAATCCATCTTGCCCTGGGACTGCTTCTAACATGCCAAACCTCTGAACAGCTTCAAACCTGGCTGAACTTCCTCCAAATGTGGAATTTTCCCCCAGATTACACTGGCCTGCTGAGACACGGGACAAGCAGTTTTTAGTGATAGGTTTAGACTGATATTTTATAAGCCAATAGAGCCAATTACTGGAGCTTTATGCCATTGAAAAGAGGCGATTCCCAACTTTCCAATTGGTTGCACAAGACTTGCTAATAGTCCTATAATGTCTTGAGATATTGGACTTTAAAAATATGACATTACGTAAAAAAGAAAATTAGCTCATTTTTCAGAGTTTTTAAAATTATCATTTTTTTCTCCTTCTGATGTCACTGCTTTTGTACTCATAGGCCCAGATTTTTAGAGGTATTTAGGCATTGCTGTACTCAGCGATGCAATGTGTAGCAGATTTAGGAACCTAAATCTCATTTTCTAAAGGGATTTAGACACTTGAGACGAAATCTCAGTGAGGCGTTGCGTCATTGAGCACAGCCGTGCCTAAATAGCTTTAAAAATCTGGGCCTTAGTAACTAAAGTCAATATCAGCTGATAGAAAAACGGAAAAATTACTTACTAGTAATTCAGTTTGTCCTAACCCTCTTCTCTTCACCATCATTTTAATAAAACATAATCTACATCATGCTATTATCTCTACCGGTTGGGAAGCAGGAGATAGACTGATACCCTTCACCCCTCAATTCTGTACAAAGACTTGTCCTTCATCCACTTGCATTCAGTCTGAACGTTTTCAGAACAAGAGCCCTACGAAGGGGCACAAAGCAAGGGAAGTAGGATGGGGAAAGAGGAGAGAACTATGACAAACCAAATTACTCATAGGTAATTTTCCCTTGTCATACATCCTCTCTCTTCCTCATCCTGCTAAATCTTCCATAGACTGTTAAATAGTGTATCAAAGGGTTTTATACTGTTGCCTGTCACTGTAGTTTCTGAGTACCTTCATTCTGATGGAGAGCAGTTCAAGAGGAGGAGAGGCTTACCTTAAATATATGAGAGCAAGATGCTTCTACTAAAGGAAGAGTTCACGGGATGCTTCCACTGAAGGACAACTTCACAGCGGCATATTAGACCAGCTGGTTGTATGTGACTAACGTGGCGACAAGTAACTGCTGTGTAGATATCATCCACCAAAGTCTTGGCTCTTTCTACCCAGACAGAGCTATTCCTTTAATAATGTGCTAGTTTAACCAGGAGTTATTGGGCTTGATGTAGTAATTGCTGAATGAAATTCTTTGGCCTGTCCAAAGAAGACCGGCAGACAATCAGAGTAGATGGTCATAGTGGTCACATCTGGCCTTCATATATGATTGAATGGGCCTGTACTACTTTGATGGAAAAATGTGGTCACTACTGTGGTCACCAGAATGCCTAAGATCAGGGAAAGTCACTAGTCCTACTTAAGTGAGACTTAAATGCTTGCTTGACCTTGAGCAAATAGACACATTTCTCTGTCAAGATAAGTTCAGGAAGAAATCCAGAAACTACATTACCTGGTGATTAATGTGAAAGGAAGCGGTGCATATAACTGCTCCTTCTGGGGGGGGATGGGGGGAACCTGAAGATTTGGAGGGTCTTTGGTCAGTGCCCCAACTCATCATCCCGGCCAAGATTATGGCCACCAAAATAGGATCTTTGGAGTTAAGGACTTTAGACTTCCTCCCCACTGATGGCCCTAATGAAGGATTCACTAAAACTCTCAGGGCTAGGAATGGTAGGCCTCACTGAGGGGACCAGGAGTTGAATGCCAGAACTCTACATGTCTGGTGAGATACTAGTAGAGTTTAGGGATGCAGTCTCGTTTTGGCCTTGTCTGTGGGACAACAGCTGTGGAAAAGGAAGAAGAGGCTAAGGAAGAATTCTATATGTTGCTTATCTGAAGAATGTAAAAATGCTGGGAAAGCTAGCCGCTCTATGGCATTGGGGCATGTCAGTTGTCATTTTTGCTTCAGTGGTCAAAGATAACAGCATGATAGAAGGATTTTCCTTTAAGAAGTGGAAGAGAGGAGGGGCACACCACAATTACTTCCTGATACCAAAGCTAGTGATTAGTTTATTTAACTCTGTGTTTGTCAACACAATTACCTAAGCTATTTCAGGATTCTGTGGCACTTTTCACAAAGATTCTTAAGGTCAGTTAACCCTGGTTCCCTGGGCAAATTTCAACATATTAGAACTCAACTTTTGTACAGCAGCATCCTCTATCTATCCAAAGCTGTTAATGGTGTTGAAAAGACACTAGGAGTACAACTGAAATGCAGCCATATCTGAGAGAAAAGGAGGTCTTCAGACTTCTCGTAGCAACACTCTGCAGCAATTCAGAACAGAACTGCCTAGTTAAATTCCCCATGTAATGCTAATCTGCTAGCTTCGTCCCTTCATTTCTTGTCCTCAAAAGTTGCATGGTGTTTCTGATGCAGTTAAAGGGCTATGGGCTACAGTCTAGAGGTGGCTGCAGTTTCATGCTCAACTGAAGTATTTCCTCGGTCGGTAAAGTTCTTTGCAATCCTTCTGGATGAAAGGCAATATATACACATATGCTGCAGTTATCTTCATTGCCCTTCCATTTTAATTTCACCTGTAAATATGCCCATGTGTCCCCTTCGCTTGCACACATTGTGTCATTGAAAGGTGCATTGTCACACATTCATTCTCTCATTCAGCTGCTCTTCTAGTCTGGAAGAATTACACAAAGTCTTGAATGGTATTGTTGGTGATTTGGGTTTTGTTGCTAAAGTAGCTTAGCTCTGCTTCTTGTGTATCATTCCTCCCCAGTAATTCAGTTTGTCTTCTGAATCATAGCTGTCATCATAATCTATCTTCGGAGCGCAACATTAAAAATAAATGTTGCTTCTGTTATTAAACTGTGCCATTGACAACTTGCTGCTGTATTTCACACAAATAGGTAATATTCCCCACCACTGCTTCAACATCTGGCCTATCCAAATGAATGCTACCTAGTTTTTAAAGACGGTGGCCTCCTCACCTCAATAGATCATCATATGATAACTTTCCAAATAAACTACCTGCTTGATAATGCCGAGAGTCTAATGGCTTCAGTTCCTCAGTTTGAAGGACTTCATTTCTGAAAGGCTCTCTTTTGATTCTGTGGAGCTTCACTTTTTGGTATTAATCAGAACCGTTACATGGGATACACTCTACAATTGATTAAGTCTTCAATCTACAAGTCTAACCTAGCCGGAATACCACATCAAAAGACTTCTTCCTATAGGAGAATATATAGTAAAGAACACTGACCCAAGAAGGAAGCCCTTGTCCACCTGGACATTGTCAGTGATGCATTATCAGTGGGCCTGAAGGAACAGGAAAAACCCTCCTGTGTCTTGTAATCACTGGATCCATTTACCTTTTCAAATACTTGTCTAGTCTGCATTTCACCTAAGCTGAGTTTACTGAAATCTTTTTAAGTATCAGCTATCAAGTATCACATGGCAGTCACAGTAGCTTTCGATACCCCTTTCTGAAACAGGAATTGCGCAGACCCTGAATGCAGGTGTGTCAGATTGGCAGGGTTGAAGCTACTTGTATGATTTAAAGGATTATGCAATGATAATCTTCCTGTATTTAATTATCACCACATTTTTATTGTTGCTATTGAAGATAAAATGAAGCTTTCATCCAATTAGGAAAATACAGGATTCTATGCAAAGCTTGGTGATAAAAGAGAAGATCTGCTCTGTAATTGACTGGAGCGGTAATATAGATAATGTTTTGTGGCTTGCAAGATGGCTGGCGTTGCTGTAGAAATAAAGTCCTTATATTAAAATGGAGTTTGAAAAGAACATTCCTGTTGAAGAAAGAATCGTGTTCAGAAGTGTGTTACCAAGACCAATTTAGAGGAGGAAGAATTTCTTAAGCAGCACTGGAGTCTGGTGAATGAAATGGACCATTATTTCCCCTGTCTTGCTCCATATGCTGCCTGACATATAACAGTTGCTTCAAGAATCCAAGCATTCAGCATATTCACTTAATAAAAATGCAGCCATTTCTTTTGTCCGCTAAATGGTATTGCCCTAGTAATGATTCTGTTGTAATGCACTGCCAGCTTATCGGGAAAGTTACAATGAAGTTCTGATAATGATAGAATGAATTTTTCTTATAAGAAAATATACTAAAGGTTGAAAAGTAATTTTGACTTGTGAAAATATATTTGACTACAGAGTTTTACATTTGATGTTTCTAGGGGACTGGAAGTCTGAGGATTGGTAATGGGATACGAAGCCATTCACCTCTAGGTCAATGTTGAATCCCGGCCCAGGTTGGTAGTGACCAAAAGTCGTTACCACTGATGCATGTTCAGTGACCTATGTCAGACAAGTTAGTGGTCTCAGCCCAGTTCTCAGGGGACAGGTTTGCAAGTTTAAATCGCCAGTGGAGACTGAACTAACCTCTCAATGTCAGAGGCAGTCCCTCCAGAACAAGATTGCAGTAGATTGGGTCCATATGAGGGGAGCTTGCAAAACTACCGCTGTACTGTACCTATTCTGTGTGTAACGGTTCCCAGTCTGTGTGATACTGGCACCTTTTCACAAGTACCAAACCATTCACTCAACCTAAGATGTTTTTAAGAGGTTGTGCATAACACTGGTGGGTGTGTGTGTGTGCGTGCATGTGAGTACTACAAATGTAATGTAGGTAGTTCTTGATTTTCAATATAACTTGCTTTTCTGCTTCCTTGATGGTCTATGTATCAGAAACAGCCACAGGGCACTTCTTTAAAGTGAAGTTTAGTAGTTGTGGTAAGCTTCCTGCAATTTCATGAGAAATCAGACTTCAGCATTACAAACTTCATAATTTTTTCTTTAATATCCTCCAAAATCAGCTCCCTCACCCCACCCCCTGTAACACTTATATGCCTCCTTCAGTTGAAGTATCATACTGAACTGAGACAGTGTTTGCAGATTTCCAAAATTTGTCTTACATTGTGCAGTAACATGTACATTTCTTATCGTGTTTAAGGGAGATGGAAAGTTTACCTGTAATGTATTGTGGACTTCTTCACTTTTACTACTAGTTCTTCATAACATGTTTCTGAAGTCCCTCTGTTGAGACATTGAGATTTAAACCAAACCCCACTGTGTGTTAGAAAGCTACATTTCCTCCAGCTATTAATATAAAATGAAATGTCTCCTTAGGTTGAGAATTTCTTCTGTATGGGATCTCCATTAGCAGTGTTTTTGGCACTGCGTGGCATCCGTCCAGGAAACAGTGGAAGTCAAGATCACATTCTGCCCAGAACTATTTGTAACCGGTTGCTAAACATTTTTCATCCAACAGATCCAGTGGTGAGTTTTTATTGCAGTTACAAGCTTTTACCTCAAGAGTATTTTTAAATAAAGTGTGCTGAAGGACAATAAAAGACAATATGTAAGAAGTGATCTTCAGAGTACTTGCATCAACATAGGTATCTTTCTGCATGCAACATGGTTTTGCAGAACAGCTTTCTGCCAGTCATCTTCCAGTGTCTTGGGTTTTGTAATTGCAAAATAAATTATCACTAGAAAATGCAATAATGTCCTATGCAGTTCTTATCCTTCCTTTGGAAATAGTTTACTCAGTAACAGAGTGATTTTTTTATGCATAATTTGAACACTGCTAATCACTAACGATTAATCTTGGTAGGATTCGATTTCAGTTGGTAAAATTAATGGAGATATCCCATCTCCTAGAACTGGAAGGGACCTTGAAAGGTCATCGAGTCCAGCCCCCTGCCTTCACTAGCAGGACCAAGTACTGATTTTGCCTCAGATCCCTAAGTGGCCCTCTCAAGGATTGAACTCACAACCCTGGGTTTAGCAGGCCAATGCTCAAACCACTGAGTTATCCCTCCTCCAAAGGTTAGGTAAATGTTGATTTCAGCTGAAAGTGAAATTGACGAAAAAAAATCTGTCAGTAACAGCATATCTGCAAGGATCAGGTGTCACTGGCCTTGCATCCTCCCCTGCATCTTGTGCCAGCGTGTCTTGGGCCCCTTGGTTACGTAGGGAGTCCTCTGCAGCCCAGCTGTCAGTACTGGAAACCCACTGTAGCCCTGCTATCAACACTACCCTAACTCCATCCCTTCCCCCTTTCATTTCTAGCAACTGTAAAAATAAAAATGGTTAAAAATAGAAAACATCTTAAAAATAAAAATAAATATTGTCAGAAGTAGAAAAAAATTGAATACTGCCAAGCCTACAAATGATATAATGTTGCATTCACAAAGAAGCTGCGCTTTCCAGTTAAAAACTTTGAGACTTCTGTGATAAAACTTCTATTTCCACGTCATTAAAGTGTTGCTAGCAGTTTTTTAACTTTGCCTGTCACCAAATATCATCTGACTGCAGTGGAGCGTCGCTGATTTACATCCTCTAAGGATCTGTCCAACATCTCTAACTTGCCAGACAGCACAAATTCCATTAAGCATTTTATTTTCAAAAGAGGTCAATCAGATTGTAATTGACTCTGACCCTCTCACAAATTGAAACATTCTTTACCTGGACTCAGAAGGTGCAAAATACTTTCCTACCTTATGAAAACAAAGAAAACTGAATGGGTCATACTGAATGTAATTCCTTAATGAAAATCCATGTGCCCACAGATCAATACGTAATGACTTCTGAAAACTAGCCTTTTATCCATGTACAGTAACTGAGTTATTTATTAAGACAGTCTGAAAATTCCACTGGCATGCAAAAGTATATTTCCACTGGCATGCAAAAGTACAATTTCAGTTGGAGAGAAAAGGTGGGTGAAGTAATCTCATTTATTGGACCAACTTCTGTTGAGAGAGAGAGAGACCAGCTTTTGAGCTACACCGAGCTCTTTCTTCAGGGCTGGGAAAGGTTCTCAGTGTCACAGCTAAATACAAGATTGAACAGATTGTTTAGCATAAGTGGTTAACCCATATTCTAAGGGACCTTTCAAGGTGAAATGGCCCTTTAATGCCCCTGTAGTCATAGGACAAAAAGGGTGGAGTGTCGTTGTAGAGAAGTAGATCACATCATGATAATGGGCCACCCAAATACCCCCATATGGATTCCAGGATGGGGTGGTAGGTGACAACCAAGGGTGTGCAGTAAAAGGGGGTTTTATTTCTGTATTGAAACAGGTTCTCTTGGGTATCATCAAACTACAAGCCAAACTCAATGGGGACCCCATCCTGAATGAAATCTTTCCTGAACCCATTTTTCTTCAAACCCCGCCCCTCCCCTCCAATCTCTCGAAGCTCATCATCAGAAGCAAGCTCCTCACAGACCGGGACACGCCAACTCAAAGTGGCACCAGACCCTGCCAGAACAAATGCAAAACTTGCAGACATAGCTCCATTGCTACAATGATCAGTACCCCCCACAACGCGCCTTTCAAGATCCAGAAATCCCACAACACGTAGAGTACCTCATTGTCACAAGGTCCGTTTCTCCTGGCTGCTCTGGGGATTAGCTCCTTCCAGGTGTTGTGCTTTTCTCTGTCGGTCTCTCCACCCGTATCTGCAACTTCTTCATGACTTGGCCTTCCTGCCAGGTCACTATGTGTTTCCCCTTCTTGGGTACCAAAGTCTTCCTTCAGCAATCCTAGGCAGTCTTCCCACTCACTGCCTCATAGCTGTGACACTCTGAGGACAGGTCTGCACCTCAAATTTACATTAGTGCAGCTGCACCGATGCAGAAAGCTCTCCCATCGGCTTAATAACTCCACCTTTACAGGAGGAGTTATGGTCAGTATAACTACGTCACTTAAGGGGATGGATTTTTCACACCCCTGAGCAACAACGTAGTTATACCAAAGTAAATATGTAGTGCACATCAAGGCTCGGTGTGACTTGAAAGCTTGTTTCTTCTCCCCCAGTAGAATGGTTACAATAACGCTGCATATAATTTCAGTTGGAAATTTTCAATTAGCCGCATGTATGATACAGGCTTTGTTAATGGGCTAATATCTTTTTATGTAAGAACATAGGAATGGCCATGCTGGGTCAGACCAATGGTCCATCTAGCCCAGTATCCTGTCTTCTGACAGTGGCCAATGCCAGAGGCTTCAAAAGGAATGAACAGAACAGGGCAATTATCAAGTGATCCATCCCCTGTCATCTAGTCCCAGGATCTGGCAGTCAGAGGCTGAGGGACACCCAGAGCATGGGGTTTCAATCCTGACCATCTTGGGTTATAGCCATTGTTGGACCTATCCTCCATGAATTTATCTAATTATTTTGGGGCGGGGAGGGATAGCTCAGTGGTTTGAGCAATGGCCTGCTAAACCCAGGGTTGTGAGTTCAATCTTTGAGGGGGCCACTTAGGGATCTGGGGCAAAATCAGTATTTGGCCCTGCTAGTGAAGGCAGGGGTCTGGACTCAATGACCTTTCAAGGTCCCTTCCAGTTCTAGGAGATGGGATATCTCCATTTATTTATTTATTAATCCCAGTTATAGTTTTGGCCTTCGCAGCATTCCCTGGGAACAAGTGTGTCGTGTGAAGAAATACTTCCTTTTGTTTGTTTTAAACCTGCTGCCTATTAATTTCATTGGATGACCCCTAGTTCTTGTGTTATGTGAAGGATTAAACACTTCCTTTTTCACTTTCTCCATGCCATGCATGATTTTATAGACATCTATCATATCCTCCCTTAGTCGTCTTTTTTCCAAGCTGAACAATCCCAGTCTTTTTAATCTCTCCTCATATGGAAGCCATTCTATACCCTTAATCATTTTTGTTACCCTTTTGTGTATCTTTTCCAATTTTAATGTATATTTTTTGAGATGGGGAGACAAGAACTGCATGCAGTATTCAAGGTGTGGGCCTACCATGGATTTATATAGGGGCATTATATTTACTGTCTTACTATCCCTTTCCTAGCCGTTCCTAACGGTCTGTTAGCTTATTTGACTGATGCTGCAGAGCAATCCATATAAGGAGGATTTATTTTAAAGAAAGCTGCTGTTTAACTCTTGGTGACAGGGACCCTAGAAAACTGACATGCCATCCTGTCATCTGGCCCTAGCCAAATACATATCCCAAAAGGGAGGTCAAGATCTCTGCTCCCTGAAACCAAATTAAGGATATTGGAATTGTCTGACTATAAAAGCCGTCATGGGACTGTAAAAGCCCTCCATGCCAGTCTACTACTACTATCTCACTATAGGCCCCAAGTCAGTAAAGTATGTAAGTTCATGAATGGTCTAGTTCAAGTTCAGTTGAACTAATCACACATTTAAATGGTTTGCTGAATTAGGGCCATCGTTTTTATTTCTCCCTCCCCACCTCAGCCCATCTACAGAAGAGCTGTTCATTGGGTATGTCTACAATACACTTTTTTTAACCTTGAGTTAATTGAGTGCCAATTAATTCAAAGGCTAGTGTGGCCCTCCCCACACATTTGATCCAGCCTACAACCATTTGTTCTTTATCCTAAAGATTACCTAGATTTTGTTCAGGGCATGTCTACACTTGCCTCTGGAGCGATCAATCCAGCAGGGTTCGATTTATCACATCTAGTGAAGACGTGATAAATTGACTGCCGAGCGCTCTCCTGTTGACTCCGGTACTCCACCGGAGCAAGAAGCATAGGCGGAGTCGACGGGGAAGGGTCAACAGTCGACCTACCGTGGTAAGTAGCTCTGAGTACGTTGACTTCAGCTACTCTATTTTCGTAGCTGACGTTACGTAACTTAGACCGACTTAGGCCGCTCCCCCCCCCTCCCCTTTTCTCTCCCCAGTGTAGACCAGACCTCAGTGGTGAGTTACCACTTTTCTGGCATCTCCTTGTAAAACTTGCTGTCACCTGTACTGTCCAGTAATGTCTTCTGTTGAAAATAAGTATAGTAAAACTTCTATCTTACTCATCAGACTTTCAAAGCTCACTACCTAAATTGTATCTACAATTTCCACATTTGCCTAATAAACAGAGGTTTGTTCAGATTGTGTGAGCAAAATTAAATAGCCAGTTTTAACGATTTGCTGTGAAATGCAGAATCAGTTTATCCATATAGAAAGGATAAGTCTTTTGCTGTACTGTAATAGCCTACTATTAACAGTACTTTTCACTTCTGATGAAAGAATATAGTGGTAGCAGTGTTGCAGAGGAATATACAAGGATATGTGCATAAGCAGTGAGGAAACTAGTCAGTTTTCCAGGAAAATGAAAATAAACATGACCACAGTGTATTTTCAACATTTGTCAATTTCTGGCTATTAATTTGCTACATCTATTTCACAGTAGCAAGATTTCTTTTCTTAACAGAGTGACAGGGATTGGGAGCAAGGAACTCCTGAGTTCTAATTCTGACTATCCCACTGACTCCCTCTATTGCCTTGAGCAAGTTATTTTAATTTTTGTATGTATCTCTTCTGTAAAATGGGATTGCTGCCATTTATCCATTCATCCCCAGGGGACTGTGAGGATGAATCATTAGTGTTTGTTCAGTAATTTGAGGATGAAGAGCGCTATATATTGGTAAGTAAATTTAATTTTCAGTGTCTGTCACTGCTCAGGATTTTCTTCTCTTGAATTTATCTTGCAGGCCTATAGACTAGAACCTTTAATTTTGAAGCACTACAGCAACATTTCACCTGTCCAGATCCACTGGTACAACACTGCAAACCCTCTACCTTATGAGCACATGAAGCCAAGCTTTCTCAACCCAACAAAAGAACCTACCTCAGTCACCGAGAATGAAAGTATACCAACCATACCAAGCCCTGCTACTTCACCAGTCATGGTTCGACGCCATTATGGGGAGTCAATAACAAATATAGGCAAAGCAAGTATATTAGGTAACTGCTAATTAAGTCTTTTCATATGTACATAACATTTTGCAATTAGGTTTCATGCAATAACATTTTGATTAATTGTTAATAGAGCCCTATTTTCATATAAAGCTTCATTTTTTTTCCTTTGTGATATTGAAGGCATAACAATAAATGTGCTGTAGTGGTATCTTTCCTGTACTTCCACAACGTAAGTGCAGTGCTAATTTAAATCCAAATAAACTTTTACTTAAGGGAATGGGATGTTTATATATACTACAGCCAATGTTCTTCTTTTGCTACTGCTATCTTATTTGTTGTATGTTTAATTGAAATAACATCCTGATGGGTCAGTCAGTATCCAATAATCAAATGTTGTTAGTTTGCAGCATGAAGAATTAAAATGTTTGCATTAAAATCACATTTCACAGTATTGGTTAGTGGCAGCAAGGTCCTTAGTTGGTAATGAGAAATGTTCGGATTCCATTTAACTTAATAAACATGAATTTCCAGATGCAAAATTCTAACCTGAAATTTTTGTCTGTCCCCTTCATTGTCCTTTAGCATCCTGATCCAGCTTAAGCACTAGCCTAACTTTAAACATATGAGCAGTCTCTTTTTTGCTTTTGATGGGGTTACTCTTGTGCTTGAAGTTAAGTATGTGCCTAAGAGCGTTGCTCAGTGTGGGCCTACACTGTTTGGGTTTTATACTAAAATAACTTGAAAGAAGTTTAAACAAGGTAACCTGCTGTTGAGTTTCTTCCCTAGTGAGCAAGTAAATCTTTATTTCCTATCTTCTTAAGGAATTAGTCTGATTTATATAATACTCCTAAGCAAGATCTGACACATCTCACTACACAGCTTTTTTTTCCATGTAAGGGTACATCTACATTTACCTCCGGGTCCGGAGGCAGGCAATCGATGTTCTGGGATCGATTTATTGCGTCTGGTCTAGATCCCTGGTCGATCCCGGAAGTGCTCGCCGTCGACGCCGGTACTCCAGCTCAGCGAGAGGAGTACGCGGCATCGACGGGGGAGCCTCCCTGCCGCGTCTGGACCCGCGGTAAGTTTGGACTAAGGTACTTCGAATTCAGCTACGTTATTAACGTAGCTGAATTTGCGTACCTTAGTCCGAAGTGGGGGGTTAGTGTGGACCAGGCCTAAGATCTGTGTATTTAACTTTGTTTTACTGTGAAAGTAGCTTTTTAACATAGCCACAAGATGGCAGCAAAGTCAGGAGAAAATGTTATCACTCTTAAGGTTATGAATCTGTAAACTATCTTAAACTTTCATGCAGTGATTCTCAAACAATAATCATCCCCTTTCACTGATAATATAGCACTTCTAAGTCTCTCTAAAAATGGTGCAAGCATAAGAAGTTGATGAAAGGAGTGTCCTCTCATTAACGATGATAATGTGATTCTTCTTTCACATAGAAGGTACTGTAATTATTGTGAAGTACCCAAACCTACCGTGTAGCAAAATGAATGAGATCTTAAAAGAATTTGTCTGTAAAACAGGAATTAAAATAGACCTTTTCGGTATTGGATTTTATTTTGTTGGTCCAAAACTGTTCTTGCATATTTTTGTTTCCCTGACTACAGTTTCTGAATTATAACCTTGATTGTACACTAGACTTGAGTCACATGATAAAAAATGTAGACTTAATTTAAATAAGCTGTTTTTCCCACCCTGGAAAAACATGAGTAGTGTTTTTCTTTCTCTGTCATTCAGCTGTAATTGATGGGTGTTACAGCCACTTTAATTTGTGGTATGATTTAAGTCATGGTGCCTGTCCTGTTTTGTGCTGAATGCAGGCGCTGCTAGCATTGGGAAGGGCCTTGGAGGGATGTTGTTCTCAAGATTTGGCCGATCTAGTGCACCCACTTCACAAACGTCTGAGACTGGAAAAGAGGGAACAGAAGGCGAAGACAAGAAGCCAGTTGCCATTCATTCTACTGTTGGAACGTTGACCTTCCCACACAGCAGTTCCGGCTTCCTTGACCCCACATGTTAGTGTACCTTTACGTTGAGCAGCTCGCTGTATCTTCTGGCTTCTCTTTTGGAAATAGAGACTATTTTTTAAGTTGACTTTGGATACATTTGTTGTGGGGGGCGGCGGGGGACATGGAACTATGTGTGTTATAACAACAAACACATGCTCCTGTTTAAATTGTTTCCTGGGCAGCTTTACGATGATAAAAACTGGGTTCATTCCCATTCATTAAATATTTTTCAATTTATTTCCAGAGGCTTAAATCTCTTTGATCTGTTCTTTTTTTTTCCTTTTGCTCTTTAAATGGTACATATATTTCACAGAACTTTTAGCTAGTACGGTAGAAGCTCAGAGTTACGAACATGTCGGGAATGGAGGTTGTTTGTAACTCTGAAATGTTCGTAACTCTGAACAAAACATTATGGTGGTTATTTCAAAAGTTCAGCTGAATATTGACTTAATACAGCTTTGAAACTTGACTATGTGGGAGAAAAATGCTGCTGTCCCTTTATTTTTTTTTAGTAGTTTACGTTTAGCACAGTGTTGTACTGTATTTGCTTTCTTGATTTTTATTTTTTCTCTGCTGCTGCTTGATTGCATACTTCTGTTTCCAGTTGAGGTGTGTGGTTGACTGGTCTGTCCGTAACGCTGAGGTTCTACTGTCCATTCTCTGCTACAATGGTCTCTAAAATATCATTGGAAAAGTCAACATAATTGCCTCAGAAATCCAGTTTCATTTATAGCAGAATGCATCTTTTTTAATTCTCCAGTATGTGTCTGGCACTAAGACATACTTTTTGGTGATGTACAAAATACAGAGAAAGAAACAGTCCTTGCCCTTAGCAGAGCTGGTCCAAATACAGGACAAAAATTTAGCAAACGTTTTTATGAAAATGAATGCACTTCCTATGCCAAAATTCAAAATGTTGATAAAATTAATTTCAAAACTTTTCAATCACTCTATTGTCAAGGCATTTACTGTCAAAAATCTGATTTAATCTAATCTGAACTTTCAATAATTTTTCAATGACTCATTTCCTCTCTTTTGACTTCACACGCTCTCAAAGGTGTTTTCCCTAGATGCATATACACAGTACTGCCCAATCAGTCAAGTTCAAAGAGATGACTTTAAATAATCATAGGAAGTCCAAGCTCTGTATGTACAGTCAGTTGTTTCACTCTGACAATTTTAATGTTGGAATTAAGAAAAAGCTGAAGTTTTGTTTTTCCTTTTCTGAAAAATGTAAGTGTTGTGGGCTTTGGATTGGGCTTGTGCATCTTAAATTACCTCTGTAGTAACAGTTGAGTCAAGAATATAAGCAGCGTTGCATCTTATGGTAGTGTCCACATGGTACATCACAGTTTTAGCTCTAGATAAGAGCTAAATTATCCCTTCCAGTTCTAGGAGATAGGATATCTCCATTAATTTAACTTATCTCCTAGAACTGGAAGGGACCTTGAAAGGTCATTGAGTCCAGCCCCCTGCCTTCACTAGCAGGACCAAGTACTGATTTTGCCCCAGCTCCCTAAATGGCCCCCTCAAGGATTGAACTCACAACGCTGGGTTTAGCAGGCTAATGCTCAAACCACTGAGCTATCCCTCCCCCCAAAGCTTCAACAGATAATCTGAGTGACTCATTCATCATATAGGGCAGAGGTTTAATTTTAAACATAGGGGAAAATATGGAGGAGTAACAGTGATTGTGATTAAATCCTAGTGGGGGGTTCTTTTTAGGAAACTCAGCAACTCCAGCCTTCCCACCCAATCCCAGTATCTCTCTGTTGTGTTCTATAGATTGAGATCCCACAGCCTAGCCCAGCCAGGCTGACTCAATCCATGGCTGAAGTGTTAACTTCTGAAAGGCCTACTGCATGGATGTGTGTGAATCTTGCTTGTATCCCAAGGTTCTATAGTGGAATCGCCGAGAGATTTTGTTTTAACAGTTTGCTTGCAGAGAAACCAGTCTCGTCTGATTTACTGTATTTGGAAACCAGTTAGATGTTGGTTGGAAAATATTAAGCCCTATACCAGGGGCTCTCAAACTGGGGGTCAGGAGGTTATTACATGGGGGGTCGCGAGCTGTCAACCTCCACCCCAAATCCCGCTTTGCCTCCAGGATTTATAATAGTGTTCAATATATAAAAGTGTTTTTAATTTATAAGGGGGGGGGGTCGCACTCAGAGGCTTGCTATGTGAAAGGCGTCACCAGTAAAAAAAGTTTGCGAGCCACTGCCCTATACCTCCCCGAATGTTGTTGATATCATGATTGTGGAGATTTTGAGTGATATAGTTTTTTACTTTGAGCCAATGGCTTTGACAAGCAATTCTATTTTTTCCCTGTATGTTTTTTGGCCTTCGTGGCTAACTAGGATTTTAGTTTATCCATTTCATGCGGTTGCTTCTTTAGAACTAAGAAAATCTCTACAAATGAGTTGACAACAGTGTGTTAATTGTGGTAGCAACTAAGCCAGTTAAATGTGCAGTAAAGGCTGCTTTGATGTAAGTGGTATTACAGTAGCAGCTGTTGAAATAAAAGGGCAGCTGCTGAAACATTTTGGAAAAATCTGGAAACTTAAAAGGACTGACTTTCTGTGTAGGGACTGGGACTAAAGCTAACATTTTTCAGAAGCGTCAGCAATTGTTAGGCACCGAAACAAATAAAGGCATCCAACTTGAGACATCCTAAAGGAGCTTTATTTTCAAAAGACGGATACTCCATACTTTCTGAAAATCTGAGAACCTTCCAGGTGTCTTAAGTTGGCCCCTAAAAATTAAGTTATCAGTATCTCTCTAGTCACTTTTGAAAATCTTGGCCTAAGCCTGTTTTTAGAAGAAAAGATCAGGATACTTGCTGAGTAATTCCCGCTAGTTACATGAAGAATAAGGTTTGTTAAACTGTTCTTTCCAACACCTTCAGTGTTTTCTGCGTGATCTATCTATTACTATTGTGTTATTTGTAGTAATTGCATATATATAAATATAAAAAACCACACACACACACACACACACACACACACACACACATAAATAACAAAACAAGAGAACACTAC